CCACTCTATCCGGCCTGAAAACCATATCCAGGGATGTTGAGCTGTAAATTTTGCCCCTCTTTTCAGCCAGGTTTTTGCTGTAGCAACAACATTTTGCTGCCACATGTATATCTATGCCTTTAGCTCATCTGCCTTGTTTGTAATATTTGATGCATTGAAGTATAAGTAAATCAACCCTGTCAATTTCCTTTGCTGGATGCTTTTTAATCCTTGTATTTTTTTGTCTTTCTGAGTCACTGACTGCATCACTGACTAATGCTCTACCTCCCATTTCCTGATCTGAAACTGACCCATTTAAGCCTACACTTTGGTTCCCGTTCCCCTGCCATATTAGTTTTAACATGGCACCAGTGGAACTAGGAAAAGACGCACATGAGGATATTTGTCCCAGCTCTGTCCAGGTGCAACCCATGAGGCTTGCCCAGGCCCTCCTATATGGCTCTGAGATGTTGACTGTCTACAACAGACACTTCAAGGCGCTAGAGCAGTACCACCAACGCTGCCTATACAAGATTCTGTGAATCTGCTGGGAAGGAAGACGCACCAACGCCAGCGTCCTCGACCAGGCCAGCATCCCCAGCATTGAGGCAATGACCACCCTCGATCGGCTACGATGGGCTGGGCATGTCATCTGAATGATTGACACGAGACACGCCAAGCAGGTGCTCTACACCCAGCTTTGAAATGTCAGGTGAGCCCCAGATGGACAGAGGAAGCACTTCAGTAACACCCTGAAGGCCTCACTGGAGAAGTACAGCATTCCCAAAGATACTTGGGAATCACTGGTCCAATACCATCTAAAGTGGAGGAAGAGCATCCAGGAAGGCATTGAACACCTCGAAACTTGCCGTCGGGATAAAATGGAAGCCAGGCAAAAACAGCAAAAGGAATGCACTGACACACCAATGCCCCATCTACCCCTTCCCTCAACAATATCCAAAGAGGTATATCTATTGAAGAGGGGGATGACCACAGGGGACTCCTACACTTCCTTCCTGAGCCTTTTACTTTGTCTGATGGTCACGCATTCCTTTTTGGCCTATGTAATCTTCTCCTGTGGCGTGACCACCACGCTAAATATGCTGCCCAAGACATGAATGATTGATGATTTATTGCCACTTGTATTATACAGTGAAAAATACAGTGAAAAGCTTCAACTATTGCCACAATCCAGCGCTATTTTGAATAGTTTAATAAAAACAACCAGCTGAAAGACAGTCCACCTTTGTTCCACTGCTCCTCCACCACCTCGCAGTTGCCTGTGCCAGACTCACCAACATCAGAGTCACCACTTTTCAGGTGCCATATCTTCATTGCTGGGCCCACCTCGCTGCCTCCGCTGCCGATGCAGGGTCCTGTGATGGACCCACACTCAGCCCACAACCAGGAGTCCCCTGCTCTGCTGCTGCCGCCTCCTTGCTGATAACTAGGAGACCCCAGTTCTGGGCCTACCACAACCAGGAGTCCCTGGCTCCGCAGTTTCTGCCACCTTGACGACGTCTGGAGTCCCTGCTCCAGGTCTACCACAACTCAGCATTGTGGATGACCCACCTGCAGTTTGAGCTCTGAAAGCAGTAAGCCAGCAGCTGCAGATGGACACAATTCATGCACATGTCGCTGTCAGGGACAGTGTCCCTCATTTCCCACATTGTGCAAGAGGTGTACACCATGGGTGTCAGATTTCCTGTCATATCTTCTTTCCAGATTAAGTTAGTTATTCCCTTTAAGAAAATTTAATTAAGCTAGAGACCTTCTTTTGTTTCAAACACTTGTATTTTAATCAAAAGGCCCTACCTTTATTTAAGCTAATATATTATGCTTTAAAATCTGTAAGGAAATACTCTGCAGGTATCATTTACCAATTGGTTGTTTTTGTTGGGGACCATGTAACTTTCTGGATAGCCTTGACTGAAATCTAGCACTGTACTCAGTCTTTCAGCTTCACCTACTGCCTGTCTCACCTACCTCCCTGTTTTCAACCAACTTCAAAGCACTCTTGTTTAGCCAAGCAGTACTCACAGCAGCCTGGTTATCTAGTGGGTCAGGACCATAACCTCATGTCTTTTGTATATCTGCTAATTTTATAGGCAAGATACTGGTGCAGTGAAGCTTTGGAAGCAACACAGCAATCAGACACCAATTTACTGATTTCCAGATTTAGCTACGTATGTGGGGAGGCACAAAGCTGCTGTCCCATATTCAACTCAATACATCACAAAACAACCTATGGCATTATAGAATAGGATGGGATACCCTCAACTAGAAGTGAAAAAATATAGTGATGTAGTAAAAAGCAAAGGCATGTAATTAACTTTTTAAAGTGTGGGGAGAGATGGCAAGATGGAGGAATCTATAAAGAGAACTTTGAACCACAAAGGCATTTTGACTGAAAGTTACACTAAATGTATGAAGCAGAGAGAGGGAGGAGATAAGAGTTGTCTTGCTGGTGGTGAAGGTACTAGGGTGATTTTAACCAAAGATATCAATTGTAATTTCTAGGCATTTGTGAATCTGGATCCAATGTAGGTCACCACAATACAGAGCTTTTTAAAAATAAATTAACTAAATTGACAAATTCCCACAAAGAAGATATTAATTTTATTGTAGGGGTGTTTCCAAAAGCAGTCACAAGTTAGGAGGAAAGCTGACTTTGATTTTAAAAGTATGCACGTAGCAACAAAGGATAGTATGTCCTAGACCATCAGAGATATTTATTTCATCAACGGCCACAGGTGAGGTGCTGGAGAACTGGAGGGTGGCTAATGTTGTGCCTTTATTTAAGAAAGGCTGTAAGGAGAAGCCTGGAAATATACACCTGTGAGTCTGACATTGGTAATAGGTAAGTTGTTGGAGGGAATTCTGAGACATAAGATTTACATGTGTTTGGAGAGGCAGGGACTGATCAGGGATAGTCAGTATGGCTTTGTGCCTGGGAAATCATGTCTCACAAACTTGATTCAGTTTTTTGAGGACGTAACCAAAAAGATTGAGGGCATTGTCTAAATAGTAAAGCCTTTGACAAGGTTCCGCATGGTATACTAATTAGTAAAGTTAGATCACATGGGATTCAGGGAGAGCTTGCCAATTCGAGACAAAATTGGCTTGATGGTGGCATGGTGGTGGAGGGTTGTTTTTGGATTCAAGGCCTGTGACCAGTGGTGTCTTGTAGCAAAAACAGAGTTGTTGGAAAAGCTCAGCAGGTCTGGCAGCATCTGTGAAGGAAAAAAACAGAGTTAACGTTTCGGGTCCGGTGACCCTTCCTCAGAACTGATGGTGGCTGGGAAAACTTGTAGCTATTGGTGCTAGGTCCGCTTTTGTTTCTCGTTTATATAAATGATTTGGGTGAGAATTTAGGAGGCATGGTTAGTAAGTTTGTGGATGACACCAAAATCAGTGGTATAGTGGACAGTGAATAAGATTATCTAATATTACAAAGGGATCTTGATCAATTGGGCCAATGAGCTAAGGAGTGGCAGGTGCAGTTTAATTTGGATAAAGGTGATGTATTGCATTTTGGTAAAACAAACAAGGACAGAGCTTATACAGTCAATGAGTAGTGTTGTCGAACCAGGAGATCTAGGGGTTCAGGTACATGGTTCTTTAAATTTGTGTTACAGGTAGACAGGGTAGTTAAAAAGATGTTTAGCACGCTTGCCTTCATTGCTCATATATGAGAGTTTGGAGTTTGTACAGAACATTAGTGAGGCCACTTTTGGAGTACTGTGTACAGTTCTGGTCACTCTGCTATAGGAAGGATATTATTAAATTGGTTCAGAGATAGTAGGAACTGCAGATGCTGGAGAATCTGAGATAACAAGGTGTAGAGCTGGATGAACACAGCAGGCCAAGCAGCATCAGAGGAGCAGGAAAGCTGACGTTTCGGGCCTAGACCCTTCTTCAGAAAGTTCCTGAAATTTCTGAAGAAGGGTCTAGGCCCGAAACGTCAGCTTTCCTGCTCCTCTGATGCTGCTTGGCCTGCTGTGCTCATCCAGCTCTACACCTTGTTATCTCTATTATTAAATTGGAAAGGGTTCAGAAAAGATTCACTAGGATGTTGCCGGGACTGGATGGCCCAAGTTATAAGGATAGGTTGGATACGCTGTGACATTTTTCCACTGAAGCAGAGAAGGTTGAGGGATGACCTTATAGAAATCTATAAAGTCGTGAGGAGCACAGAAAAGGTGAACAGCAAAGCAGTTTTCACTAGGGAGTTCAAAACCAGAGGCATATTTTTAAGGTGAGAGAAGAGAGATTAAAATGGACAGGAGAGGCAACTTTTTCCACACAGAGGGTGGTTCGTGTGTGGAATGAACTGCCAGAGGAAATGATAAATGCAGGTACAATTACAACATTTAAAAGACATTTGGATAGCTACATGAATAAGAAAGGTTCAGACGGATATGGGCCAAGCGCAGGCATGTGGGATTAGTTCAGTTTGGGAAACTTGGTCGGCATGGACTAGTTGGACCGAAGAGTCTGTTTCCGTGCTGAACGTCTCTAGTGATTGCCCCGGAGAAACACAGGACCTCGGGCGACGCAGGCAACTTGAGAGAAGGCTCCTTCCAGGGCACTTCACCTCCCGTCACTCCTGGGCGCTGGCCATTTAACTAGCTCAGCCCCTGCGCACATTGGAGCATTTCGAAATGAGGAACCGAGCCCACTGCCTGTGCCTCGCTGACAGTGACACGGCACTGTAAAGAAGTAGCAGCACATACACTGCCTATACCTCGATGCGAAGAGATACAGCTCCCGGATCACATCCAGTACAATGCACCCTGTCAATGGTTAAGGAGCAGCCCACGTTTCCGGTTGCTCGGCGGGCGAGCACGCGCTGCCTTGCGACACACACTCCCTCTCCCTGATTGGTCAGAATGCGGGGCGGGCCAACCACTGATACCAGCCGTTAACCAATAACCGATCGGCTCTTGTTGCCCGGACGACGTTTCCCTCCAATGAAGGAGCCCGCACCTGACGAGCTGTCAATCACCGAGTATCTTTCCCGTAGTTTCGACGCTCTGAGCCCTGGAGCGACGAGCCTGGGATTTCGGAGCTTGTTTGCAGCGCAGCTTGTCTGGAAATCTAACGGAGGGCTTTGGAGGCAATCTGCAATGTAGACCCAAAAATGTATTCGGGCGAATGTCTCCGTGACACTGCTTTCCCATGAACATAAAGAAGATCTGTCAAGAATCGGTTTCCCTGCTCAGTCCTCCGTTAGTCGACAGAAGGAAGTTGCAAAAGTCTCCTCTGTATTAAGGTGGGTGTTGGAACTGTAGATAGACATTAGATTGATTTTCTGGTGTGTGAGCATTTCTACAGGATTAGAGATAGAGAAAAATGCGAGGCTTCTTCTAAACATATAACACCATATTTGTGACATTACACACGTCCTAAAATCATCCTAACAGTCATTTGAGGTTCCAGTGCCAAGGTTAACGTGAAGACTTCATTCAGGAAGCTAATATGTCGAGCCTTTTACTCAGTACAATTGCTTACAAAGTGCCCGAGCTGTTTAAAATCGGTGTGATCTGCGGGGAAAGGAACAGTTGTAAACGTTTACTTAACTGACATCGGCCTTCGAAACTACGAGCGTAAAATGAGCTTCATTTTACAATTCCTAACTAATACTTAATCGTACGCTCTTATTCTCTTGCAAATTGTGAAGTTTTTTTGCTAGTTAAACTCTGGCATCTTCTAACATTGTGTTGCTTTTCCAGCCCATCCGACTCCGAAGTGGTTTGGGAGAGAACTGGTTGTTCCGCTTGATTTGATGTACGGGGTCCGCCAGAATGACAGTTTGGCGGATACATGAGTTTGATGTTCAATGTCCCAGTAAAGATTGCCACTTTTCCCCAAATTCAAGAAAGAATAAGGGGCAAAACGAGGATTGGGAAACGTGGGGATTATTTTCTAGACAGATTACGGAAAGGAAAATGAAAAATAAACTCGTACATTGTGCAATACAGAAATGTAAAACGAGTCAATATAATCCAGGAAGGATTCTATTTGATCCTACTCTTTCTTAAATAAATTACTTCAACCAGAGTACAGTACTGGGACTCTGGAATTTGACTGGGTGTTTGTCACGCTTAGGGATTTCAAACTATCTCTTGGTAAAAGGGAAAACAACCTTGTTGGAAAACACGTTTTAAAAAAACTAATTTTAATTTCTTAAGGCGTCTCAAAATGTGCACTGGTTTTCAGTTGGAGTTTCTGGGCCTTTGTCTCGCAGACATGAACGTTGTTTTAACTTCCTTGTCATGATTTTTCACTCGCATTGCAAAGGCTATATTAGCAGAGACGTCCAAGTTAGACTGGTGGATTCCTCTTTTGGGGGGGTGGGGTGCGGGGTGTAGACTTAAAGCTGACACTGGAATTAAGTCTGAAAAACTGGGCAATTGACTGTGAGAGGAGGGGCTGTGGGAGGTGGAGTAAGAAAAAAAAAGCTGAACGTAAACCAAGACGTCCCTCTGAATGGAATGTAAATTTCGTTATGCAACGACAATTTGTATTAATGACATGAGTAAAACTAATTATGACTTATGTATCTATTCTGCACCTTAAGTCTTGTATGAATCTTGACTCAGTGGAAATTTAGATAACCTATAATAATAGAGGTGCAGGCAATCAAGGACTTACCTGCTGATGGTGGGATTTAGAGTGACAGGTACTGTCTTGAAAGTGACGGCTGAAATGATATGGAAGCTAGTATGTTAATGTTTAATACTTTGATATTTTCATTAAAATGAATGGTGCTTCAGGAACATTATGATAAATCAGCCCTCTGGATTAGGTGGATATTAGGTGTGATGCATCTGTATTATGTGACCAAATGTCATGTTGAGGTTTGTCTCTTGTATTCAATCTTCTCAAAAAAGCGATCTTTAAAATCAAACTGACGACATACAGTAAAGCAACACTATGGAGTTGGACCCTTCATGAAAAATGAAAAAAACCCTTGAAACTCAGTACTGCTAATTTCCTAAAGCTATAGATTTATGTAAAACATTTTGTAAGAGTAATGCTACAATTGCCAACTTTTAACATCAAAACATTTTAAATGCAAGTCATCTTTTCTGATGAAGGGTTTAGGCCCGAAACGTCAGCCTTTCTGCTCCTATGATGCTGCTTGGCCTGCTGTGTTCATCCAGCCCTGCACCTTGTTGTCTCATGGTTATAATGCTTTACTCTTTTACAACCTATTAAACGTCATTTTGCATGGCACATACCTGCACTGAAATATGCATCAGTACAAAATTGGTACTCCATTATTTTTTTTTCTTGGCTCAAATACCATTTTAGCATTACAGTTTATCTGGGAATTCACAAGTAGAACACCATGTAGGTGCTCATAATACTTTTGATTTAAACAAATCAACTGCGCACAACCACTTTTGTGAATTAGATATAGTAAGAACTGCCAGTGCTGGAGTCAGAGATAACACAGTGTGGAGCCGGAGGAACACAGCAGGTCAGGCAGCATCAGATGAGTAGGAAAGTTGACGTTTCGGGTCGGGACCCTTCTTCAGAAATTTCTGAAGAAGGGTCCTGACCCGAAACATCAACTTTCCTACTCCTCTGATGCTGTCTGACGTGCTGTGTTCCTCCAGCTCTACACTTTTGTGAATTAGTTGCTTGTAGATAATCTTTAAATCTGTTACAACACCATGACTTGTTGGTATTTTTATGTATAATGTAAGAACGTACATAAGATCTATAGTAGCATTTAGGATTCTGGATGGATAAATTAAGGTGGACTATATTGTTCGGTTAATTTGATACAGTCAGGTGGTGAAGAAGGAGACCAGAATGAAATCTTTACTCAGTTTTAGATTTATTTGCAAAGTGAGACATTACAGATGCATAGCTCCTAACTCTGCAGCCCACCACCAGTGTCAATAAATATCCCTTGATACTCATTTAAATATCAATAACATTTTTAAAAAAAGATCAGGAGTGTGAAGCTTAAGTATAATCAAAACATGAGGAGTAGCCCCATTAAATAATGTAGAAGTGGCTGCCACCTTGTACATCTCTTTGAAGAAGAGTTCCTATTTGGATACGTTGTAGCACACCTCTGGGGCAGGTGGAATTAAACCCAAACCTCTTACCCAGAGGTAGGGATGCCTAAGACCCTCAAAGACAAGAACATTTCCTCTTAAAAAAAGTTTTAATCAGCCTGTTCGCAGTTGCTAAGATGTGTCTCTGCAGCAGGTGGGACTTGTCCATACATAGGGATACTTCTACTGTGCCACAAATCCCTCAAAGGCAAGCACGTCTCTTCATATGCACGCAATTATTACCTAATAAGTACTCCCTGACGTGTATATACTTAATTTACACATCTTTATGGCATCTTGAGATCAGAGCGTATGGCCTCAGCAAAGCTAAAATAAATGAGTAAGTTTGACCATTTGTATTACTTCTATGTGGAGCTTCTGTTGCAATGGGTTTCTGCTTGTGTTATTGTGTATTGTTTGTCTCAACATAAACCCTACAATGATCTTAAATCACAAATTTATTTTCTGTAATCTATCGCTAAACAAAAATATTTGAAGATTTTAATTGCTATTTGATTGTTTAAGTTGTGTTTTCCAGAATGATTTTAAAACAGCCAGCTATTTGGAACAAAATTATCACAAATATTTTGTACTACTAAAACATTCTATTCTTTTAACTTGACCAGAAAGAAGGTGTAGAGAATATCTAATTGAGATTGAATCACTTTATTCAGTACTATATTAATAAATAGAGGTACCATAGTCTTGGTAACAGTGACTATACTTCAAAACTATAATTTGCTGTGAAAATCTTTGGCACAGAAATCGAGTGCTGGAGAAACACAGTATCGTTGAGAGAAAAAAAACCAGTTAACATTTCAAGCCCACTGACTGTTTGTTTGTTTGTTTGTCAGAACCGCTTCCTTCAGAACCTGAGAGATTCTGACGAAAGGTAACTGGGCTTGAAATGTTAAGAGATAACAAGGTGTAGAGCTGGATGAACACAGCAGGCCAAGCAGCATCATAGGAGCAGGAAGGCTGACGTTTCGGGCCGAGACCCTTCATCAGAAATGGGGGAGGGGAAGGGGGTTCTGAAATAAATAGGGAGAGAGGGGGAGGCGGATAGAAGATGGATAGAGGAGAAGATAGGTGGAGAGGAAACAGACAGGTCAAAGAGGCGGGGATGGAGCCAGTAAAGGTGAGTATAGGTGGGGAGGTAGGGAGGAGATTGGTCAGTCCAGGGAGGACGGACAAGTCAAGGGGGCGGGATGAGGTTAGTAGGTAAGAAATAGGGGTGTGGCTTGAGGTGGGAGGAGTGGATAGGTGGGAGGAAGAACAAGTTAGGGAGGCGGGGACAAGCTGGGCTGGTTTTGGGATGTGGTAGAGGGAGGGGAGATTTTGAAGCTTGTGAAATCCACATTGATACCATTGGGCTGCAGGGTTCCCAAGCGGAATATGAGTTGCTGTTCCTGCAACCTTCGGGTGGCATCGTTGTGGCACTGCAGGAGGCCCAGGATGGACATGTCGTCTGAGGAATGGGAGGGGGAGTTGAAATGGTTCGCGACTGGGAGGTTCAGTTGTTTATTGCGAACCAAGCGTAGGTGTTCTGCAAAGCGGTCCCCGAGCCTCCGCTTGGTTTCCCCGATGTAGAGGCCACAACGGGTACAGCGGATGCAGTATACCACATTGGCAGATGTGCAGGTGAACATCTGCTTGATGTGGAAAGTCTTCTTGGGGCCTGGGATGGTGGTGAGGGAGGAGGTATGGGGGCAGGTCTAGCACTTCCTGCGGTTGCAGGGAAAAGTGCCGGGTGTGATGGGGCTGGAGGGGAGTGTGGAGCGGACAAGGGAGTCACGGAGAGAGTGGTCCCTCCGGAAAGCAGATAAGGGTGGGGAGGGAAAGATGTCTTTGGTGGTGGGGTCGGATTGCAGATGGCGGAAGTGTCGGAGGATGATGCGTTGGATCCGGAGGTTGGTGCGGTGGTACGTGAGGACGAGGGGGATTCTTCTTTGGTTGTTATTGCGGGGATGGGGTGTGAGGGATGAGTTGCAGGAAATGTGGGAGACACGGTTGAGGGCGTTCTCGACCACTGACGGGGTGGAAGTTGCGGTTCTTGAAAAACGAGGACATCTGAGATGTACGGGAGTGGAATGCCTCATCCTGGGAGCAGATGCGGCGGAAGCGAAGGAATTGGGAATAGGGGATGGCATTTTTGCAGGAAGGTGGGTGGGAGGAGGTGTATTCTAGGTAGCTGTGG